TTTATACGGACATGAAAAAATTATTATTAGAACACTTACGTGCAGTGGCGTTACAGGAGTGGAATTCCCGATCCGGAAATTTTTCAACTTTTAGAGAGAGGTTTTTCCGCTAGCACTTTCAGTAGTGTAAAACTACCATCATCAGTTGAATGAAAAATCCAGTATCTACCAAATCCTGCTAAAGCACACACTAACTGGTGAAGAGATTAATTATATAGGAGCTACCGCTAGAAAATTAAGTTTACGAATCCATGAACATCAAGAAGACATCAAAAATAATAGGCCAGTCACGGAATTAGCAAAGAGAGTACTCGACCATAACTACCAGCCTCTATGGAACGAAACAAAATTACTAAAACGCTGCAACGAACCAAAGGAGCTATTTATTTGGGAGACACTCTTTATTTTTACTACTATACCATGCAACTCCCCAACTCTCGAGCTCCCACAAATTTGTATAACAGCGTTCAAACAACTCAACCCAAGATAAAAATACTCCTTCGTTGCTTATATGCTTATTTTGCGTTGGTGCGCATACTTGAACGAACTATGTTCATTAACAGACATTTCTAATGTTAATATTTATTTATCATCATTTCTCGCGCTATGATGTAAGAACCTTTAAATAATATTCGAAAACCATAATCAGCCAAACCGTCGGAAATATCGTTTGAAATATTCAATATTGAGAATTTTTCAAAAAACCGTCGAAACATTGTTCGGTAAGCTTGAACTATTGAATTCTATGTACCGCCTGATGATGGTAGTTTTACACTACTGAAAGTGCTAGCGGAAAAACCTCTCTCTAAAAGTTGAAAAATTTCCGGATCGGGAATTCCACTCCTGTAACGCCACTGCACGTAAGTGTTCTAATAATAGTATACGTCGGCGTGAAGTGCAAACTTATTACATCATGAAAAAATTAAAGTGAAACCCAAATTTGCTGCATTAAGTGACAAATGTTTTATTATTGATAAAAATAACATGGATTTACTTGTTTCCACATTGCAAAATAAGAATTTTAATCAAACATTAACATTTTGTCAGTGAAAATAATATTTTTGAAAATTTTGTACAAAAATATTGTTACATATTTATCCGGACAGGTTTCAAATTGCAAAATTTTCTTACAATTTAATGGCCAATGTAACCACCATTTAACTTAATTACATTAAATGCTCGATTAGGCATTGTTTCAATTAGATTCTGAAGGAATTCAATCTTAAGTTTATCCCAAGTATCTGAAATTGCTGCCTTCAAATCATGATTTGTGGGAAAACTGCTTTCCATTGGCATAAACTGTACGAACCATCATCCCCCAAAGATTTTCCATTGGATTCAGGTCAGGGCTTCTAGCAGGCCATGTCATCAGATCAATATTTTAACATTTAAACCACATTTTTGTTGATTTAAAGGCATGCACAGGGTCATTGTCTTGTTGAAAGATTCAATTTGGTCCACAAATATTTGGTCCAGCTTCCAATAAATGATCTTCAAGCATGCCTTGATACTTCTCTGAATTCATTCTTTGAGTTATAAATGCTAAATCTATGGTTCCATTGAATCCAAATGCACCCCACACTATTATTGATCCCCCACCCATTTGGCATTTTGAAAATATTTGTTTTTTGGTTCTTAAATCTTGCCAATAACACTTTCAATTGTTCGGACTATCTAAGATGAATTGTTTTTCATCGCTGAACAAAACTTCAGTCCATTCTTTGGACTATGTCATGTGTTTTTGTGCCCAATTAAGTCTGTCACTTTTGTGCTTTAATGAAAGTGGTAGCATTATAGCTTTTTTCTGAATTTTAACGTTCAAGATTTATTTAAATCTCTCCACACTGTTGTACTGCTACAAGGTAAGTCTAATTCTTGTTTTATTTTTCTTACTGATGTTTGTTTTGTGGAGCAAACCTTGATGATTTGTCTTCAGTCTCAAGGTATAAGCTTGGATTTTGGACCTGTCTTGAAGTTTGGTACATCCTAGCCACATCTTTTTGATAAATAATCACCAACAGTTGATTTTGGACAATTTATATATGCTGCAATTTCTCTTATTGACTTGCCTTGTGATTTATAGGCATCAATCTGCTCTTTTTTCATAATCAGATAAATTCTTCATTCTACCCATTTTAGAACGTTGAACAACATAAAGAATTTGAATTACAATTAGATATGTAAGCTAATTTGCATATTTCAATGCTTGAAACTAAACAATATTCTATTTAAGTCACGAAATGAGTGCCTGTCCGGATAAATATGTAACAGATTTTTGTACAAAATTTCCAAAAATATTATTTTCAGTGACAAAATGTTAATGTTTGATTAAAATTCTTATTTTGCAGTGTGGAAACAGGTAAATCCATGTTATTTTTAATAAAACATTTGTCACTTAATGCAGCAAATATGAGTTTCACTCTAATTTTTTTGTGTCCGTATAAATTTGAAACACACCTTAACATGGGGTGCTTTAATAATAAGATTGGGTTACCCAATGCTCAAGTGTTAAAAAAACTTATAAAATTTCAGTGTTGTAAAAAAGTTGTATGCTTTTGATGGCATGTAATATTACATGGTAGTTACCATCAAATATACAAATGTTTAGTTCTGAAGGTACTGTACATATCATGTGTAAAGCACATGTCCTAAAGAAGAATTCATTTTAAAAAATTCCAAAATTAAGAATCTTTGGCTTTCAAATCAATATTTTTAGTATAAACCTTAAACTGGCCTCTAAATGAGGCTGAAAACATTTGCATTTCAAACATTAAACATTTTACTACTGGAAAAGTGTGATAGGTTGTTGTCAATTCAGGTAACTGAATTGTAGACAGTTTCATGATACATGCTTTTATAAAATTGCTTTTATTATAACTGATAATTAAGTTAAAGCTTTATTATTAATTTTATAGTACAGTTAATTCTTAGCTAATGCAATCCAAATTTAAATTTGGAAATTGTCTATATTGATAATATTAAGCTGGGTAAATAAATAAGACTACACTTAGTAGAAACTCTAGTTTTATTGACTTTGGTATTAAAAAGTATTTAATTGTTTTAACATGTCACGTTATTATTATTATTATATTATAATTTTAAAAAAATATATCACTTGCATGTTTTGAAAGCTGCTAATACTGTATCTGTGATTACAATTAAAAGCTTACTGTAAAGTTTTACTATCATTGGCATAAATTTAAAAAAACTGTTTTTGCATTATTGATCTCCTGGAATTTAAATATGAGTGTTCATTATATTCAAATACAAACCTTAAATTATTGACTATCTTAAATTTCTACTGTTTAGAACTTAAATTTCTACTGTTTAGAAATAAGATATTTGTATAAAGATTGCAAACAGAAATATGAGGGTCACTCTGAACTATTTCAGATAAAGGAAAACTGTCTGCTTTTCTGGAAATAACTATTAAGTATGTGAAAAAATCACAACAGTCTGCAAATTCAAATTAGCAATAGCTGATTGTGGCAATTGTTATATAACGGATGGAATTGAAGGTGAAAATTGCAGCAACATGGAGTTAGAGAGTGCTATCAAGCAATAATCTAATAGTAATTGAAAGAAGGTTTCAGTTTGTTTGATTTAGTTTGAGTAAACAGCTGTGGCTAAAAATAGGGTTCAGGTATCAAATTAAAGTTCTTATCCTGTAGATGATGCCATTGATGAGAGATTTGAGAAAGGTTAATGGTTTAGGTGTGGCAAAGGTACTATGTTAAGTCTATGGGACTAACATGTCAGAGTCCCACCCTTTGTTAACTGTAGCCAAAGTAATTTTTTGTTTTTCAGTTTCATTATTGTAAATACTGAGGTTAGTAAATTTACATTTTAGTTACTAAGACCATTGTTTTTATCAGTTTCTCCCAACTCAACTTCATCAATTCCTTACTCCCTCAAAGTCTGAACAAAATCGGGCAAATGCAGCTAGTTTTTTAAAGTCAGATTAACTTGCATGGATTATTTAGTCAGCTTTTAGCAATGAGTGCAGTCTTGAGCCACTGTATTTGTATGGTTTGCAAACTTTTGCAGGGATTTCTGCTCCTGTGTGATGAAAACCACACAGGTAGGCTTGCATCAGTAATAGTCTTAGAAATGATAACCAATGACAATTGATGATCAAATGATACAAGTTGTCCTTGGCATTGGATCTACACCTATATACAGGATCCTGTCTAATGAATTGTGTATGAAAAAAATTTGTTAGTTGTTGGCTTCTACATAACTTAAGTAATTAAATTAACAGAATATCAGAAGACAGCACAGGTTTGAATCGGTTGACTAACTCTAAAAATATTGAATGATGGTTGTCATCACATCATTTACTACAAAATCACAAGTGACAAAATGTGCATACCGTTTTTCAATGATTCTACACAAACCACCATGAAAAGACAATGAGCAGTGAAGAAAGTTACGTACACTGTGTTCTTTAGGTTATGGGAGTTGTCAAAGCCATCGAGTTAGAAGGGCAAAAACCATCAGTCATATTGGTACATGAAAAAATGTCTGCCAAAAGTGTTTCAGGAACTGATCTTTGCTTCTTTTAGATCTTTAATGCTTCTTCTCATATGACTGCAACAACAGTCATGCTTCTTGCAGAAAATAACATCAAATTAATCAAACATCCATCTTCCTTTATCTGGCTATGTGTATTTTTCAATCTTAAAAATAATTTATGTGGTGGTTGTTTTGCATCCAAAGATGAGATTGAAAATATTCTGTGATAACAACAACAGTCTGTTCTAGAAAATGAATGCCTCAAAGCTTTCCATTTTTTGGAAAACCTGACTTCAAAAGTGCATAAAAGATCAAAAGATACTGGAGGGACTGCTTTGAGCACTCCTAACATTTCGTGGTTTTAGCATCTGCTATTTTCCAGTATCTCACAAATTTCAGAGTGATTCTTGTATTCTAATTATTAAAATTTTTATTAGTTTTTGTCAAATAAAAATGGCAAATTAATTAATGTAATTGTCTTACAGAACTCTCTTCAATGTCACAGGAAGAAAAGGCAGTACTAGCAAATTATAAAAAGGATATACAAAAGGAGATTTCAAAACAGTTTAATGATTTGATTGAAGAGGTAAAAAAATCAAATTATTTTTATTAAAAAAAACTATATTTTATTAAAACAGAAAACTAACATTAAGACACTTTTTCCATTGAAATGAAACAGTTTTTATAATGTCGACATCATTTAGGTTTACTCTGTGATATTTCTTTTTTATCATTTAGTTTGTTTTCTACAACAACTTTATGTCACAAATTATGATAATTTTATAGAAACAATAATTCTGTCTGGTTTTGTTGTTGTTTGAATGCAGCCTTAAGCACACTTCTTGATTAATATAGTAGTTTCAAAATGCTCCTGAGATACAATTTTAATACAGATTGTATTTTTCTTAAAAGAACATTTAGGTAACATTTTCTTGAAATAGTTTTCTCAACAATTACATATTTTTTCAATGACTGTAGAGTGCTTAGAGATATTCCTGTAGTAGTTTTCTCCACTTCTTGAATTGCAATCATTGCAGCTCAAATCTCTTGTGCTACAAAACACATGCAATTTGAGTTGCAACTATTTTTGGTTGTAAAGAAAGCACCAGGTTGCATCACCAGTGATGATATGATTGAGAAAATGGGATCTACCAGCCATTTTGATTTATTCATCTGGCAAAAATATCTTTCAAATTAGTTTTCACTCAACAGCTGTGTTGTCAATTACAATTTTAATGCATCATGCAAAATTCAGTGATAATATCCAACAGAAATGTGATCTTGGATGAAATTTCAATTCTGTAAGGAGTAACAAGGGTAAATTATTTGTTGTCATTGTTTTCTAAGATCAAAGGAAGTGTTGGTACATTAGTTATGTAGTAGGAAAGATTAACCTTTGAAGAAATATACAAACAATGCATTTTTGTCTGTCTCATCATGCACGTATATGATATGTATAGTGTATGTCTCTTCATGATATAAGTACTTTGTCACTATACATAATTGTTCTCCATAATTTTTTTTCTAATTGATTGTATCATACCTGTATAAAATCATATTGCATTCTTTGTTACAAGCAACAAGTCACAACAGCTGAATTTTAACAAAAAAAGATGGCTAATATCTGAACTTAAGCTTTCAAGTTGTTGAAAGCTTAAGTTCAGAAAGAAATTGGAAAAAAGATTATTTTTTTATTTTTTCAGCATGCTTCCACTAAATTCTGTCTTTGAAAAGAGTGGATTGAGTTTTCTGAAATTAACAGTCCTCAACCAGGCTGCAAATCAAAATGTACAGGTAGCCCTCGGTTTACGCCGCAGTTCCGTTCCTACAAAAGCTGGCGTAAAATGAACCCGTATTTACACTGACGTATAGGGTTAGGTGAAAAATACGTGAAAAATAAGTGAAAAATACGCAAATAATTTTATATATAATTTATAATAATTAACAATATAATACAAAGTACAAAAAAATAAAGTTAAATGTTTTTATTAAAAATTTTAGTTTCGGATCTCTTACATTTTTCGGAAAAAGTATCCATCTTTAATTGTTTACATTTTTGTTTTCTTTCATTGAGAATTTCGGAATATGGTCGAATGGATGCGATGATGCTCCTTTTTACATTTGCACTTCGCTCCCAATCATTGTCTAACTCACAAAGTTCAACCATCAAACTTTCCATAGTTGAAAGGATACGTTAACCCGACATAGAGCTACGGACGAGTGGCGACACTGGTCAACCACCGGTCGCCGTAGCACATATGTAAGGTCGGTTTGAGAGGGAAAATTAAGGAGAGATAGATATCATCTGGCCAATGAGAAGTAGATTTATAATTTATTTTGTATACTAGTACTTTCTATATATTAACAGGACTTATTATACAGGAAAATTATGGATGCAGATATTTAGTCTTACAGTTCAAAAATAATGTTCTTTATTTAGTTCACCTGTTTTTGAACTGTAAGACTAAATATCTGCATCCATAATTTTCCTGTATAATAAGTCCTGTTAATATATAGAAAGTACTAGTATACAAAATAAATTATAAATAGTTAAAAAGGACAAAAAGGCATAATAATTAGAGAAGTAGATTTGTCTCACTAACAATAGTTTGTGATCGCCGGAAGTGCTACTGCGTCGTAAGGTGTTTACTGAACGAACTGATACGGGATAAATTCAATGGCACTATGGATTCGGATGTCATTTATTGGGCTATTAAGTTGGTAACTTGACTCGTGGGTACCTAAACGTTTAGTATTTTAATATTAATTTAATGCAAATGTATACATACCCAATAATATTAAACAGAAAAAATAAATATATTCAATAAAAATCTTTGTTTTAACGAATGTACAATGTCGCAGCTCTGTAAATACATCAACACTGAAACGAAAATCAGTCTAGCATAGGGAAAATCGAGGAATTACACAGCAAAATCGCGAATTGTGCAGTGGCGTTATTGTGAATCGGCGTAAATTGAACCGGTGTAAACCGAGGGCTACCTGTATTAGAATGATATTTTCAGTTAAAAAGATTCAGCTAAAAGCTAGAAAGCTATTTTCAGTTGTGCTTCCAAGTAAAAGCAAAGGCAGCCAGAATTAAAATCTAACATAATAAAACTGGTGGCAGATGATTGAACTGTCCATTATCAACTCCTTTAGAGAAACAGATAGTTCAAAAGTATTTGTATGGAATCATGTTTTATAATTAGGAATTTTCATATTATCATTAGTAAATTTATAAAAATAAATAAATTTGCTAATCATAAAATATAACCAGTAATCAACAGACAGACAGTTGAAAAGCACTGATCTATTCACATAAATGTAGTTTTTCTAGTAAAGGTTATATCAAATGGTACCATGAAATTCTTTCTCAGCATCTTTCCATTGTATTGTAAATCATTGAACAATGAAAAGTTATTTTAAAGTTTATTTCTTTTGTATGTGTCTATGTTAATGAAAAGCATATAAATTAACATTATATACAGTAGAGCATCGTTTATCTGAATCAATTGGGGACTGGGGTTGTTTGGATAACTTATTCTTCGGATAACCAATTACGTACGAAAAAATATATTAATTTATCCCATGTTGAAATTTTTCTCCTTTGCGTGTCGCTTCGCATTGAATTTTTGTTGATGTTAAGCCTAACNAGGATGGCCTGTTAATCAGGTTGAAAACGTTTGTTTTTAAAAAATCTATTTCTCAGCAACAAATTAAGGTCTTTTAATTTATGAACTCCTCTTGTGCTGTCTCAGGAACATCTTCAGCTTTGACTGTGAATGGGTTTTTGTTAATTGCAAATGGGGTGTCAGGTAGATTTGGAAAGTACGATGAAAGTTTGTCTGCAAGCATGTGCAAGTGTTCTTACACAGAAATTATCATCATAATTTTTTTGTCTGGTTCAATGCCATGTTTCTCAAAGAAAGCAGATAAGGTAAGAAACATATAAATTTTATTTTCGTCCAATTTTCTTTTTTTGCCAAAGCTGAAGTTTTATTTGGAATGATCAGATCTTTTGAGACAAATCGAGGCATGTTGCATTTGGTTCTTGCAGTGATAAATTTAACTCATTCAAGATAGGAAAGATGTCAACCAAGTAAGATATTTTCTGCAGTTCACTTTTATTACTGAAAAGTGCTTTAAACTGCAGTCTTGCTTTTTGATTAAAAAATGTTTTGAGTTCATCACAAAGCTCAAAAACACATTATAAAACTTTTCTTCTCGACAACCATTTCTCTTCAGTGTGAAATAGCAGAGCATTGTTCAGCGCATTCAACTCGTTGCACAGTTGCGAAAACAGTCGACTGTTTAAAGCGCTCCCCTTTACAAAATTGACAGAACTTATGACACTTTTCATTACTTCTTGTAACTCTTGTGGCAGCGTCTTCGTTGCTAATATTTGCCGATGAATCATACAGTGAGTTCCGATGACTCTTGCTGACTCATTCAGTACCAAACATTGAAATCCAGATCGACATCCTAGCATAACTGGAGCACCATCTGTGCAAACACCACAAACCTTCTCCCAAGAGATCTTATGCTCTTTCAGAAATGAACCAACTGTGTCAAATACATCATGTGCAGTAGTTGTCGTTTTAAGAGGTTTGCAAAAAAGAAACTCATCTTTAAAGTTGCCATCATTAACATACCTCACGTAACCCAGTAACTGAACAGTTTGCAACATCTGTAGATTCATCAAGCTGGATACTAAATATTGGAAGTGGAGCAGATATAATTTCCTGGATTACCTGATCAAGAATATCAGCAGACATGTCATCTATTATTCTGTGGACAGTGCTGTTAGATAAAGAAATTGCACATAATTTCATAACAAATTCATCTCCGATTATAACTCGAACAATGTCTTTGGCCACTGGCAACAGTAAATCCTCTGCAATGGTATGAGGTTTCATAGCTCTGGCGATTCTGAGTGCCATCAAATATGAAACTTCAATGGCAACTGCTACATTTTGTTTGTGGTACTTGCCACCAGTGTCAAGTCTGGCTTTCTTCAGTTCATCAGCTTTGCTTCTGAAATAGTTAGTATCCTTGCTGGCAAAGCTCGGATGCTTGCTATCAAAATGGCATTTTACTTTGTTTGGCTTCATAGATTCGGCTGATAGAACTTCATAACAAATAACACATTGCAGTTTTTCAATTTCTGCTGTAGTTATTGAGGTAAATCCATACTGTAAAAAATTCTCACTATATTTTCTTTTCTTAAAGTTCTTCTCTACAAAATTCATTGTCGTGGGATAGTTTGCTAATGAAAATAATATATAACAATAGCTTTAATAATACAAAAGATGATACATGGCATAGTTCAGTCAATACAGTTCATTTAAGTTTCCTATGATTTACCATTTTCTGTGTTGTTTTTTTTTGCATACCTGTTACTATCACAAGGGTGCAGTATTCACATCAATCACAGCTGAATATAAAAAGACTGATCAGTATCCAGATTAAGTTCCCATGATACAGATATTTTTTTTTTGCAGTAGTTGATTTTACAGTACATGATTTTACATTTACCCAGTAATTATAATTCATGAAGTGTCATTTTTACCTTCAATACTGCTGCTT